AGTTACCTCCCAGGTACCAGAGGCAGAGACTAGCCAGATTCCTTGTCATACAGCTCAAACTCACATGGTTGTTCACAGATTCTGCTGCCTCAGCCTGCTGGATCAAGGGCCTCTGTTCCTTGCTGACTGGAGATTACCTGCAGTTCCTTGCCATGTGGGCTTTCCTGGCGTGGCAGCCCATCATCAAAGTGCACAATCCAAGAAGGCAGTGTTACCAAACCAAACTTGGGTCTGCTTGCCTATCTTGCAGCAAAGCCAGTCTACGGACACCAGGTTGTGGTGAAGGGAAGTGCAGCATTTATTTGCAGGGCATTAAGCAAGGAGAATGGGCAGCTCATGCTCGAAAGACCTGAAGTCCCTGATGGCTTTCAGGGAAGGGTTTTAAAGGCAGCATTTGGGGTGAGGGTTGCAGGTGGCATGATCAGCTCATGGACTTTCTTCTGATTGGTTGGTGGTGAGGTAACAGGGAAGTGTTTGGGGAACCTTAGTCATCAACCGTCTGGTTCCAGCCAGTCTGGGGTCTGTGTGCTTATGGTCAGTGTGTAGCTACCAGCCTCTACCTGGTGGGGGGGGCAGGGTCTTAGTTTCTGCAGAACAACTCAAAGATATGGGTTAGATTGTTATGCACACCCCTTGAGGAGGAGCTCAGACTCTGCTTTATTGCTGAACTATTGTTTCTTGGCTGCTTTTCGTTTGCTTCTGCATTCCCTCTCTTTCCTAACTAGTAACTGCTTGAATTTGCTCTTTGGAACTCAGGGAATGCCTAGGAGACTAAAGCTTTTTTTTCCCTACAAACCAGAAACGGGGGACACGGAGCAGCTCTTGTACCCGGGAGGGCCCTGCAGGGTCCTGCTGGGTTTCAGTCTCCTGTTTTCTTTGATAATCCTCAGTCCTGAGGGGAAGGCGGGAGGGACAAGAAAGGGAATAAAGTTTTGGATAGAGCGGCTACTCTTAAACTCATCAGGGGAGCTCAGTTTCAGGGGGACACCATTTCTGTGGTCAAGAGTCTGCCATCCAGATAGAAGTTACAGCCTCAGATAATGTACCCGCCAAAGTGACAGCCCACCTTCTTCACCATATTGTAGGTTAGAAGCAAGTCACCAGTCCCCCTGGAGGGGACTACACAGGAGCGAAGAGGACTGGAGTTCATTTTAGAGTCTGACTGACACCATGAATGCTCACTCGTTCAGGACCTCCCTCCCCCAGCCCACAAATTCATTTGAGGTCATGGGGCAGTTTTATGGTGGGAAGGGAGTGGGAGCAGGAGCTTGGCAGCCGAGAAAGGCACTGAGCACACAGCAAGAAGAAAGCAGGAGGTGGGATGGCATAGCTCAGTGGCAGAGCATGTGCTTACCATGCACGAGGTCCTGGGTTCAATCCCCAGAACCTCCATTAAATAAATAAATAAACAAACTTAATTGCTTCCACCACCCCCACCCCCCCACAAAGAAAGAAGCAGGAAATGACGCAGCCCTTTGGAAAACCCTTTGAAAGTCTCTGATAAAATTAAGCATATACCTGTCCTTTGACCCACCCCTTCCACCTCCAGGTGAAGGGCTGCATGTATGCCTATCCACACAAAGACATAGCTAAGCGTGTTCACGGAAATTTTACTTGTAAACGCCCCAAACCAGAAACAAACCCAGATGTCCATGAACAGGAGAATGGATAAACACACTGTGGTACAAACATACGATGGAGTAATACTCAGCAGAGAAAAAGGAAGAAGACACTAATACAGGTGACATCAAGCATAAATCTCAGAAATAGCACATTTAAGTGACAGAAGACAGACACGGAAGAGTACGAATGGCGTGATTGCATTTATATGAGTGCGTATGAAAGAACAAAGGCAAAACTCACCCAAGGTGACAGGTCAGAAGAAAGAATGATCTCAGGGGAAATGGCAGTCGACTGGGAAGCGTCACAAGGAAACCTTCTGGAGGGATGGATGTGGATGTTGGTTACACCAAGGGATGGATGGATGGAGATGGACAGATGTATAAATGGGTGGATGGGTGGATGGATGGAGTCACTGAGCTGTGCACTTAAGATTTGTGCATTTTACTCTGTGAATACCTCTCACTTTAAAAACTTCCTTAGAAGAAAGAAACACATCTTCATTGGAGATTTGAGGAATGGGACCCCCGCTTGCCTAGTCCTCTAAGGAGCCTCTGCCTCGTTGTCCATTCCCTTGTCGGAAGTTCTTTCCAGGCTCCAGGTCTTCTCCAGGCTGTTTCTTAACGGCCGAGTACACACAGGTTTCCAGAGGCTGCTTCATCTGGCTGGAGGGGCCCTGACTTAGGGCTCTGGTGTCCAGGTCAGCATAAGTTGTTCCATGGGGTTCTTCAGTGCTTGAGACCTGGGACCCTTCATCCTGGAGGTAAGCAAGGCAAAGCGGGTCATGTATTCCAGGAGGAGCAGCTGGCTAGGAGGAGGGAGCAGCCACAGTGACAGTGTGGAAGGCAGCTTTCCAAGAGCACCCCCAGGAGCCTTCTACCCCCAAGCCCTCGTGAGGCCCCCTCCCCTCCTGAGTGTTGGCTGGCCCCCGTGACTCTCGGCTCTTGAACAGGATATGGTGAGAAAGATGGAATGCCACGTCCACGACCAGGTTACAAAAGACAGCGAGCCCCTCTCTGTTTGCCTCCCTCTCGCTCACGCCAGTGAAGCCAGCTGCCATGTTATGAGTCACTGTGTGGCCGTGTGGCCATGATGGTCTCCGGCTAACAGCCTGCCGGGCACCAAATCCTACCAACAACCACCTGCGTGACTGTGGAAGCAAGTTCTCTCCTGTCAAGCCCTAATCAGCCCCTGGCCGACACCTCAACCACAGCGCTGTGGGATCCGAGTGAGAGGACCTGGCCACGCCGCACCCAGACTCCTGACCTGCGGACCCTGCGGGATGACAGTATTGCTTTAAGCCACTGTGCTTTGGAGATGGTTTGTTAGGTGGTGATAGTGAATTCCTACAAACAGAGGTGTTTCTGTGAAACGTCTGGAAGAGGCAAAGCCATCAGGTCAGAAGGCAGATTAGTAGTTTCCGGGGGCTGGGGGTGGGGAGGAGGACATGGGGAGAGACTGCTAAAAAGGTGTGGGATTGCCTTTGGGGTAATGAAAACATTCTTGGAACTAGATAATGGTGGTGATCGCACAACGTTGTGAATGCACCGGCAATTTACCAAACTGTACGGGCTAAGATGGTGAGTTTTGGTGGCGGGGGGAAGGTATAGCTCAGCGGTAGAGTGCATGCTTAGCATACACGAGGTCCTCGGTTCAGTTCCCTGTAGCTCTGTTAAAATAAATAACTAAATAGGTAAATAGATAGATTCCTCCCCCCAAAATGGTAAATTTTGTTATGTGCGTTTTGCCACAATAAAAAAAACATTGCGTTGTAAAGGGAAAAAACAAGGGTTGCTACTCATAACTGCAGGGTATACTATGCAAGGCACTGTGGTCCGCGCCTCCCAGAGGGATCTTGCCCAATTTCCATCATGGCACCCGAGGTGGGGTGTATTAGCCCCATTGTCCAGATGAAGAAACTGAGGCTCAGAGTGGGAAAGCCACTTGCCTGAGGTTACACAGATCGCTGTGAGAATCGGAGCTTCAAGGCACCGAATGCTTACACCGTGCCTGGAATCCGACTGATCGTTGTGTGACTGTGAGCTCATGAAGCCCCCCCCCCGTTAAGCCTGCCGAGAAGGTGGTGTTCATCCCAGTTGACAGACGGGGGAATGCCCTCAGAAAGAACAAGTTGTGGGACTCAGGTCCCATGGCCGGGGAAGACATAGAAGAGTTCAGACCAGGTTCTCCTGACATGGACGGGAAGGGCGGGAGCGGGTGAAAGCAGGGGCCCTGACGTTGACAGAACTGGGGAGGGTGGTGATGGAGAGCCTGGGGTGACAGGGAGTCACCAGCATGGAAACTCACCAAGGCGAGGGAACAACTCTTCACAGCTGCTGATGCACCTGGGAGCGAAAAGATTCTGCTGTTGCTTTGTCCCCAGGCTCCAGGGGTCAGATTTATGCACACACACACCCGCTCACATGCACGTGTGCACACACTAACACGCATGCACGCAACACAAGCACACATGCATATACATGCTCATGTGCATGAACACAAACATGCTGGCTACTTGTGTGTGCACACACAACACATACACGCCTAGCACACACACCCCTACACACATTTGTGCAGTGCTGCATGCATACTTCCACAGACGTGTTCACATACATACATATGTACCTGCACCCCTACACATGCAGACTCACATATGCACACTCAGACACGCATGCACAAAAATAGCACACACCACACACATGCATGCATGCATATACATACACACACAAATACTTGAACACACACACGTGTACCCACCACCACTTTCTTTCCCAGGCTGATTACTTGTCACCCTGTCTTCAGGAGCCTTAGAAGAGCAGGAGCTGAGAGAGAGAAACAGTGAAGTATTGGAGATAAAGGAAACTAGAGAGAGGAATCACCATCCTTTTGAGGAGGTTGAGGGTTTATGCAAAGCAGGGCCACAGCACGGTCTCTAAACCAAACGCCCTGCTGCCCCCCCCCACTCCTGTACCCCACCTTAGGGTCTCCAAGCCATTTGGATGCTCAGGAAAGTCTTGTGAGGCGAGGGGGGGGAAGGGTTGGGGGCAGTGTGGTCCATGAGGAAAGGAACCCAGGAAGGACATGGAGTGAGAAGTGGAGGATGTTTGCAAGAAGAGAGAAGGAGAAGAGAAACTTGGCATGGTCACTGGAGCTGGTCTGGGGCACATAAAAGGTTGAGATAAGAAAGAAAGAAGGTCTTAACTAGTCCGGGATGCATTACAGGAAGAGTTGAGTATTGGCTGGTGGGATTCTCTGAGTAGCTCTACCTTTTGGTCCTCTTGTCAGGATGTACTCCTGGGATGAAAAGAGAGAGAGGAAGGGTTAATCCTGTGCTGTTAACGTCCTCGTCCCATTTCTTCCATTTCCCCCCAAATATGTAGCCCTTGTTTTCCTGAACTCACCACCCTGGGTGTATTTGTAAATGAGGAAGCAGGCGAGGAGGCAGAGGAAGATGAAGATGACGATGAGAATGATTCCAGTGGTCCCTGGTGGAAAGGGGGAGGTAAGTTGGTTTCCTGAGACATCTTCTGATGCCTAAGTATGTCTACCATTGATTGAGTTTCTCTCACGAGCTGGAGATCTCGCTTCATTTGTCTCCTACTTGCAAATATCCTGGGAGACAGAGAATGGTACCCATCTTACAGATGCGGCAGCTGAGGGTTGGAGAGTTGAAGTAGGATTTCCAGGCACCTCCTCAGTGATGAGTAGGCAGAGCTTCGACGCTAACCCGACTCACCTCGAAAGGCTTTCGCCTTGAACCACAATCTTCAGGCATCATTCAAATATAGACAGACATCCTCGAGAACTTTCCCAGCGGTGGACA